GCTTCAGCCATTGTTGCGTTTACATGGCAAGAGGTTAAAATACGTCCTCTGAGCAGCGCTACTTGTTCAGGGCAGACTGGACGCTACACTGACTCGGTATCGGAAACTGCTAAGTAAACAGCTGTTAATGCGAACATTAGCTATCGTAGCAATAGCAAAACTTACAAATAGCTCCTTTAACATTTGTTACCTGTTTGTTAAGGCAGGACGACAGCTGTAGTTTCAGTGGATTCCAGTGGAGACTATAAACTTGAATTATAAAATAGAAATTTGAACAACTGCTTCCAGGTTGTGTGCTTTTTGTTGCGTCTTCAAAGGTTGAAATTGGAAGATCGTCTGTGTCACTTATTTTGAGAGGGTTTTTCTTCTCCCTGCTCCTTTTTGATAATGGAATATAGATTACTGTTGAATTGTTTTTGTTATTAAGCTCTGCAGCCAGCTGTATACTGAAGTTATAATGAATAAATAAATGAATGAATACATGAAAAAAATCTCCTCAAACACTACCTGCGGTCAACATCCATTCCATAAACTGTGCTGAGATCAATATAGGTTATCTGTACATATCGTTGGATGGAAGAGATTTGAAAAAAGAGATAGTATTGTTGATGAGTATAGCATTTGTATGCTCTATTGCAAATTAATATTCAGCCTTTTAGCCCACTGATAGATTAAGATCAAAGACTCCACTTGCTGGAGAATACTCTGAACAGATGGTTGTCATGTTTTGTATATGTGGCCACTGAAAGTAAGGCTGCTGATCATATGGATCAATGGCGTATAAGTGTAATTTGAGACGTTTCTATGGTAATTTTAACTCGTTATAAATCTGCTTTACCCACCAAATATTCGGGATAGACTTAGAAAAGATAGAATTTCAGTGGTATTTGCACGACTACCACCAGCCCCAGCTTTTTTCACAATGCTCCATCCACATCTCTCTCTCTCTCTCTCTCTTTCTCTGGTGACATTTTCTGCAAAACAAGGCAGACGAGCCTGCCTGCCATATCTGTGCACGCTCCCTTTGCGACATGACAGCCACACCAAGTCGTTATTGCCACAAAAATGCCTGGCAGGTGTCAAACGATGTCGCACACAAACATCTGCCATGTAACCTTTTTCCTCCAAGTTCACCGGCTCTTTTTTTCATCTCAAAACTTTCTATTTTTCTCTCTATTTCCTCCACTTATTTCCACCTTTTCGTTCCTTTGCACCGATGACTGTCTCATCGTTCCTTTCCTGCACCTCTCCGTTACTCTCCTCTCCTCTTTCCTTCCTGGTTCAGTTCCAGTGTGTGAGTCCAGAGAAGTGGAGAAGGGTCTGATTAAAGAGGATTTGGGGCAGACTGCTGTAGCGCCGTGTCAGCAGTCCAAAGTACTGTATGACTTAACTAAAAATGAAATAGTAAAGCCTCTCTTCGAATTATTCTTCTCGAGTTTAAACCATAAACATTTTCCTTCGTTACGCTGCAGTCAGCAAGATTCAGTGTCAACATAAAAGTAGTTTCCGCTCCACAAACAAATCCACAGGACTTTGATATTGCTGAGGAGGATTCATCATTACAAAAACCATGAATCATAATTTGAATGTGGAGACAGTAATGTTGGAGATTACCACTATTTTTGTTTGAATTGTAGTAGACTTTTAATCGTCTTTCTTTCCCCCTCCTCTCTTTGTTTCCTTGATCTCTCTCCTCGTCTCTTCCCTCCCTCTTCCCTTCAAACATTCACTTTCTCATATTGGGATTTAAGGGCTGTTGTTTGTCTTTCTTCTCCTTCTTCCCCTCCTTTCATCTCCTTGGAAACGTAACACATTTTTTGGTTGTAACACCTCTCTCCCTCAATCACAGTTCTCTCCGCCTCCCGTGTTTTTTGTCTTTAATCTTTGTTTCAAATGTCTCCTCTCTTCTCCTCTCCTCTCCTCCGGAAAGCAGCTGACATGAAATGAAATACATGTTTGAGAAGCCAAATAAGAAATCTGAATATCAAAGTGTGTGTGCATGTGTGTGTGTGTGTGGGTGTGTGTGTGTGTGTGGGGGGGGGTGTGTGGCCACTGTTGCATTACCTGTGCAGGCTTCAGCTTCTCTCCCTTCATCTCTCCAGGTGGTGTCCATGGGTCTGTACCTGGGGGAGAGGGCCTATCTCAGGAGCAGCTGGAACATACTCGACGGTTTCCTGGTCTTCGTCTCTTTGATTGACATCGTGGTTTCCATGGCGGGCGGGGCTAAGATCCTGGGGGTGCTTCGTGTTCTCAGGTTGCTCCGGACGCTGCGTCCCCTCAGGTTAGCAGGGCAAACTGTTTTTGCGGCATGATTACTCTCTCTCTCTCTCTCTCTCTCTCTCTCTCTATTTTCTCTCCCTTCTTGAGGGGTGTGAAGTTAAGTTCTTATGGCCAGGCTGGAGATCCACACACACACACACACAGGCAAGAGAGAAGAAAATTCTATGTTCTGTGAACAAATCCACAGATTTTTTTACCATTTGAAATTTATTTATATTGTTCCATACATATTTTAATATTTCTAAAAAACATGGTTTTACATGATTTTCCGCGTCTATTTTGGCTTGTGACCCCTCTAAACATGTGTCTTCTTGTCATACTTTATATGGAGAATATTTATCAGTTTCAACCAATCCAATATATTTTCCTTTTCTCAGCTGTTTTATGAAGCTAAGACTCAACATGAATCCACAAGAAAATAGGAAAGGTTTGAGAACTGTAACACATTTGGTACCACTTTCTAATGAGGTGCCTTTTTTATAACGGTTTTATAGGTTGTAATTAAAGACCTTATTACAGCTTAATTAAACATTTACTAATCTTTATAGATCAGTCTTTCATCAGGTAGGTGTTTGACCAACCGAAGGGATTATTTGCAGCCTTTTACTAACAGCTTTTCCCTGATCTATAAAGCACCAGTGGATTATACATTAACTATTAATGAAGCTGAAACAGTTACAGTTTATAAGCCCTTTGTAAAGTGTGCCTTATTAGAAGGGGGTACCTATAATTTTGTAGCAGATATGCAATTTTTATCTGCTCACCTGTCTCATTAATCATCCCCTGACATTTCAGATTTATCTTGTGACCCCCCCCCCCCCCCCCCCCGGTGCTTCCAAGCCCCTGGGTTTGGAAGCACTAATTTAAGATAAGCTTCGTTTAGAGGCGACTATCACCTGACAGAGCAGTTAAGGAAGTAGAGAGCAGAGATCTGAAACTAAATGAATTCAGTCTGTGCTTTATGTCATTATCTAAACTGCACCATGTGACCCTGCTCAGTCTTCTGATAGATCCTTCTTCCATTAAGCTGCACAAAATGTGTGACAAATTGTTACTTGTACAGTTCTCACTCCAAGTTATTGGAGGGAAATACAGTATATGTTGCTAAATGTTGCCTCGTCTCCACTGCATCAAAATGAACTACACAGTCGCCCTTTTCATTGTTGCTTTTAAAGATGACATATGCTGTATTTCTTTATATTATGTAAAAGTAAGTTGTTTTTTTAAATTCTTTTCTTTGAATTCTGATGCTATCATGTCCTCGCCTCTCGTTCCTGTTCTCTTTGTCTTCCTCTATCTCTGTCTCCCTCTCCGCCTGTCCTCCAGGGTGATCAGCAGGGCTCCAGGTCTGAAGCTGGTGGTTGAGACCCTCATCACGTCCCTCAAGCCCATCGGCAACATTGTTCTCATCTGCTGCGCCTTCTTCATCATTTTTGGCATCCTTGGTGTTCAGGTAAACACCATCAAATATGAATTCAGATGTTCTCCACCTTACACTTAGTTTTCTTTTTTTCTGTCTTTCTTTCTTTTTTTTATTAATCTCACAAGCCTTTAACAATTTAAGAGTACTCTCTTCAGAAACTTTAATTGGACCGACTGCAAATATAATATGACCTAACGCGCTGACCCCCATGCTCACTTAAGTTTTTATGCACATGAGAATCGAAGTGGGTCAAAATATTCTTTCAAGGCCACAATTATTCTCCTAACTTGAATCCAGAGCAAAAAAGTGAAACTAAGAAATTAAAGCGTAGACACGATTAAACAGGAACAGTGGAAAACATAAAACAAGACCGCGTGTCCATGTTTGTACCCACATTGAAATCACATCCCCACATCGCGGCTGGGAAGGTGAGACGGAGCAGACCTCAGTGGAAATGAGTCTTTGGCTTCTCCCAAAGTAAAGTACACATACACATAACCCACGCAACGCAACGCAACGCAACGCAACGCAACACAACACAACACAACCATCAAAAACATACAACATATACAACATACACTAGTGCAAATGAGCATGTAGGAACATATTAGAATACTAGAGATGCCACATTCACCCCTTCATACAGCACATGCTTTTTCTACCACACACACACACACACACACACACACACACACGCGCGAATGATATATTATGGGCAATTTGGAGTTTAGTATCTTGCCCTACAACACTTCGACATGCACACTGGAGGAGCCAGGAATCAAACCACCTTCCAATTAGTGGACGACCCCCCCCCCCTTCTTCAGCCACCCACGTTCTTTTACAGGCAAAAACTTACTGTTCATCTCTGGAATTAGCTTTAGTTTTACGACGTGGGAACACAGACAGATGTAGTCTTAAATCCCAGAAGTTTCCATTAATATTCAAGCAACAAAGACTCAAGTATATAAACAACAAGGTGTGTCTATATATATATATATATATATATATGTCATTTAATATCACAATTGTATCAACACAAAAGTAAAGCAAAAAAAACAGTTCATTTAAATCCTTCATAGGTTTGCTGCACTTTATTGTCAGGAGTGCTCCAATAAAACCAAAGTACATGTCATAAATGTGTCAGTGTTTACAATATGTGTCGTATTTTATATGTTTTATCCTATTTACAGGCAAGTTCATGAGTCTTGTAAAGTTACAGCTGAGTTGGTTTTCCCCTTTTCATTTAATTAGTGCAGCACCATATATTCTTTTGCATCTAGCTGTCAGTCCCACGCTGTTCTCCCTCGCATCACTTCACGTTATTATTCTCTTTCTCTCTTTTCCGCCGTTGTGCATTGTTTTACTCACTTTGATGTGGTCAGTGTGATTGAGAATTAAAAAGCATCTCTTCTCAGGGAGGAAAAGCAAACTGTTGATATCAAGTGTTTACGGAGTCCTCACGCTAAGTTACAGACGCTAATTATGAAATCACTTCAAAAAAGCCGCAGGAAGTGGCTCCACGCGAGCGCTGTTGTCACGTCCTCGTCAAAAACTCATCATTGTGCGCCTCTGCCTCTCGTTTTCCCTCCCCGTGTGTGTTTTCCCTTCTAAGCTCTTCAAAGGCAAGTTCTACTACTGTGTGGGCTTCGACGTGAAGAACATCACTAACAAATCCGACTGTCTGGCTGCCAACTATCGATGGATTCACCACAAATACAACTTTGACAACCTCGGACAGGTACAAGAAAGAGAAAAAGACACGTTCCTGACATCCTGTCTGGATTGCTTTGAACGTACTAATCCTGGATGCACACACAAACAACAGTGCACATACTCATAAACATTATAATGATGATTAGCACACTATAGGGGATATCATTTCTCCTGCTGTGCAGTGCAAGAGAAATAACTAACACATACTTGATGGCGGGTGGTAAACTACACCTCAGCTGCTACAAAATGTGTGAAAATAATGCAAAAATGTATTTTAATGTAATTCAATATAAATACATGTATATTCTATAACTGATTCATGTCACATGACAGCAGTTCAACATGTTTTCTGCTCTAAAGTTCAATCGTTTGTTTGGTGTGTGTCTCTCTCTCTCTCTCCCCTCCAGGCTCTGATGTCCCTGTTTGTGCTGGCCTCCAAAGACGGATGGGTCAATATCATGTACCATGGTCTGGATGCAGTGGGAATTGACCAGCAGGTAATACCAGACACACACTTGTAGACATTCACAACACAAAATTGTGTATTGACACTCATACAACATGCGGAAAAGTGTAACACTCAGTCAGTCCAACCATTATTTTGCCATTTAACCTGGGTCCAGTTTGCAGTGGCAGGAAACTGAGCAGCTACGCCGTCCAGCTGCCTCTAGGGAATCCCACGTGTTCTCGGGCCATATGGGATATGAGATCCCTCCTTCTGGTCTGCCCCAGTGTGTCCTCCCAGTCGAATGTGCCCAGAACTCCTCCACAGGACAGGAGGCTTCCCGATCACATCACCAGATCAGCTCCGATTTCTTCTATAGAAGCAAAGCAGCATCGCCTCTATCCGCTCTCCTTATCCTTAGGATTGAACTAAAACAGGATGGGATGGCTGTCAAAGACACATAACATAAAGTCAAGTTATTTTAGCTGTTTGTATATGTGATGTTATACTTTAGGTATATTACAAAGTTATGATTGTAGGTGAAGGTTGGATCATCAATCAACAGGCAGATCTTTGCCTTCAGACTCAGCACCCTCGTCACCATGACAGGCTGTTTTATAACTGCACTGTTCTTCTCTCTGTGTAATATTGACTCCTGAAAATACAAACTCCTTCACTTTGGAGTAATGAACTCACTCACAATCTGGAGAGAAGACCTGTGAGAGAGAACTGGCTAATCTGAGCTGTAAACATGACGAAAGACACGTGTGAAACAATGACAGTGTCGCGCGCTGTACAATCTCACCAAGCGAGGACAGATGAGAATTTTCTTACAGTGAAAGTTTTTTGGTCTGTGTAGCTGTCGGAAAAAATGAAGCAAATGATCGTCTGTCCTAAACTGAGCCTGTATGAAACTCTGCCAACTGATCTATCTTCAGTTGGTTTTCTCTCTCTCTCCATCTTCTCTGCCTTCTCATCCTTCTCTCCCTTCATCTGCTGCCTTTCTTTCTGCGTGCCTTATTTCATAATTCTTTCTTTATTTTGTTTATTTTTTTGTCCTTTTCACCCCAATGTTCAGGTTGACCCCTATTTTTCTAGCGTTACGATGACCTGACAACTGTTGGCATTGGCGTGTCTGCCTACCGACGCTGCCACCCTGCGAGTGCTGCTCTGGCTCGCTGCCGTACTCCACTTTGAGTTAACTGTGGTGACAGTTATGGGTGTATTGTTCAGAGGTGGGAAATGTTGTCAAGGGTTTCAGCACAACTGAATGGCCAGCAGAGTTTTATCCAAAGCATTTCTAAAGGAAGTAAAGAACCCGTAAAACTGTATATGAAATATTTTATCTAATACGTGTCTATTATCATCAGTCTATGACAGAGAGGCTGTACCACTGTGGGGTTAGATTATCAGTAGGTATGAGCCACTGACACGCTAACTGTCAGTCCAGTAAAGGGTAAACCCCATCAAATCTAGAGTAAATCAGATAATCACTAAGTACGTACATAATCCTGTGAAATGTGACTCTTTAAAGGACTAATTTTGCTATTGCTACATAGCTAGCGTTAGCAGTAACAGCAGTTTACCTACCATCTTGAGAGCTCAGCCATTGTTTGCGTTTACATGGCAAAGAAGGTAAAATACGTCCTCCTGAGCATCGCTACTTCGTTCAGGCAGCTGGACGCTACACTGACTCGTTATAGGAAACTGCTAAGGTAACACAGCTTTAATGCAACATTAGGCTATCGTAGCAAATAGCAAACTTACAAATAGCGTCCTTTATCACATTTGTTACCTGTTTGTTAAGGCAGGGACGAGCAGCTGTAGTTTCAGTGGATTACCAAGGTGAGCTATATAAACTTGATTATATAAAATAGAAATTTGAACAACTGCTTCCAGTTGTGTGCTTTTTTGTTAGCGTCTTCAAAGGTTGAAATTGAAGAATCGTCTGTGTCACTTATTTTGAGAGGGTTTTCTTCTCCCCTGCTCCTTTTTGAATAATGAGAAATAGATTACTAGTTGATTGTTTTTTGTTATTGAAGCTCTGCAGCCAGCTGTATACTGAAAGTTTATAATGAATAAATATAATGAAATGAATACATGAAAAAAATCTCCTCAACACTACCATGCGGTCACATCCATTCCATAAACTGTGCTGTAAGGATCAAATATGGTTATCTGTAACATGATCGTTGGATGGAGAGATTTTGAAAAAAGAGATAGTATTGTTGATGAGTAATAGCATTTGTATGCTCTAATTGCAATTAATATTCAGCTTTTACGCGCACTGATAGAATTAAGATCAAAGACTCCACTTGCTGGAGAATACTCTGAACAGATGGTTGTCCATGTTTTGTTATATGTGGCCACTGAAAGTAAAGGCTGCCTGATCATGATGGATCAATGGCGTATAAGTGTAATTTGAGATGTACGTTTCTATGGGTAATTTATACAATCGTTATAGAAATCTGCTTTACCCCACCAAATATTCGGGATAGACTTAGGAAAAAGTGAATTAGAGGTTTTGCAACGACTACACACAGCCCTCAGCTTTTTTTTCACAATGCTCCATCCACATCCTTCTCTCTCTCCTCTTCTTTCTCTGTGACATTTTCTGCAAACAAGGCAGACGAGCCTGCCTGCCATATCTGTGGCACGCGTCCCTTTGCGACATGACAGCCACACCTAATCGTTATTGCCACAAAATGGCCTGGCAAGGTGTCCCAAACGATGTCGCACACAAACCATCCTGCCATGTAACCTTTTTCCTCCAAGTTCCACCGGCTCTTTTTTTGCATCTAAAACTTTCTATTTTCTCTCTATTTCCTCCACTTATTTCCACCTTTCGTTCCTTTGCACGATGACTGTCTTCATCGTTCCTTTCATGCACCTCTACCTCTCCGTTACTCTCCTCTCCTCTTTCCTTCCTGGTTCAGTTCCAGTGTGTGAGTCCAGAGAAGTGGAGAAGGGTACTGATTAAAGAGGATTTGGGGCAGAACTGCTGTAGCGCGCGTGTCAGCAGTCCAAAGTACTGTATGACTTAACTAAAAATGGAAATAGTAAAGCCTCTCTTCGAATTATTTCTTCTCGAGTTTAAATCATAAACATTTTCCTTCGTTACGCTGCAGTCAGCAAGATTCAGTGTTCAACATAAAAGTAGTTTCCGCTCCACTCAAACAAATCCACAGAACTTTGATATTGCTGAGGAGGATTCATTCATTACAAAACCATGAATCATAATTTGAATGTGGAGACAGTAATGTTGGAGATTACCGACTATTTTTGTTTGAATTGTAGTAGACTTTTAATCGTCTTCTCTTTCCCCCTCCTCCTTCTTTGTTTCCTTGATCTCTCTCCTCGTCTCTTCCCTCCCTCTTCCCTTCAAACATTCATGTTCTCATATTGGGATTTAAGGCTGTTGTTTGTCTTTCTTCTCCTTCTTCCCCTCCTTTCATCTCCTTGGAAACGTAACACATTTTTTTGGTTGTAACACCATCTCTCCCTCAATCACAGTTCTCTCCGCCTCCCGTGTTTTTGGTTGCTTTATATCTTTGTTTTCAAATATGTCTCCTCTCTTCTCCTCTCCTCTCCTCCGGAAAGCAAGCTGACATGAAATAATACATGTTTGAGAAGCCAAAAATAAGAAATCTGTAAATATCATAAGTGTGTGTGCATGTGTGTGTGTGTGTGGGGTGTGTTGTGTGGTGTGGGGGGGGGGGGTGTGTGGCCAACTGTTGCATTACCTGTGCAGGCTTCAGCTTCTCTCCCTTCATCTCTCCAGGTGGTGTCCATGGGTCTGTACCTGGGGAGAGGGCCCTATCTTCAGGAAGCACAGCTGGAAACATACTCGACGAGTTTCCTGGTCTTTCGTCCTCTTGAATTGACATCGTGGTTTCCATGGCGGGCGGGGCTTAAGATCTCGGGGGGTGCTTACGTGTTCTCAAGGTTGCTCCGGACCGCTGCGTCCCTCAGGTTAATGCAGGGCAAACTGTTTTGCGGCATGATTAATTCTCTCTCACTTTCATCTCTCTCTTCTCTCTCTATTTTCTCTCCTTCTTGAGGGGTGTGAAGTAGTTCTTATGGCCAGAGCCTGGAGATCACACACAACACACAACACAGAGGCAAGAGAGAAGAAAATTCTATGTTCTGTGAACAAAATCCACAGATTTTTTTTACCATTTGAAATTTATTTATATATTGTTCCATACATATTTTAATAATTTCTAAAAACAATGGTTTTTACATGATTTTTCCGCGTCTATTTTGGCTTGTGACCCCTCTAAAACATGTGTCTTCTTGTCATACTTTATTAGGAGAATATTTATCAGTTTTCAACCAATCCAATTATCTTTTTCTCAGCTGTTTTTAATGAAGCTAAGACTCAACATGAATCCACAAGAAAATAGGAAAGGTTTGAGAACTGTAACACATTTGGTACCCACTTTCTAATGAGGTGCCTTTTTATAACGTTTTATAGGTTGTAATTAAAGACCTTATTACAGCTTAATTAAACATTTACTAAATCTTTATAGATCAGTCTTTCATCAGGTAGGTGTTTGACCAACCGAAGGATTATTGCAGCCTTTTACTAACAGCTTTTCCCTGATCTATAAAGCAGCCAGTGGATTATACATTAACTATTAATTGGAAGCTTTGAAACAGTTACCAGTTTAATAAGCCCTTTGTTAAAGTGGCGCTTATTAGAAAGGGGGTTACCTATAATTTTGTAGCAGATATGCATTTTTATCTGCTCACCTGTCTCATTAATCATCCCCTGACATTTCAGATTTATCATCTGTGACCCCCCCCCCCCCCCCCCTGGTGCTTCAAGCCCCTGGGTTTGGAAGCACTAATTTAAGATAAGCTTCGTTTAGAGGCGGACTTAATCACCTGACAGAGCAGTTAAGGAGTAGAGAGCAGAGATCTGAAACTAAATGAATTCAGTCTGTGCTTTATGTCATTATCTAAACTGCACCAATTGACCCTGCTCAGTTCTTTCTGATAGATCCTTTCTTCCATTAAGCTGCACAAAATGTTGTGACAAATTGTTACTTTGTACAGTTCTCACGTGCCAAGTTATTGGAAGGGAAATACAGTATATGTTGCTAAATGTTGCCTCGTCTCACTGCATCAAAAATGAAACACACACAGTCGCTTTTTCATTGTTGCTTTTAAAGATGACAATATGCTGTATTTCTTTATATTATGTAAAAGTAAGTTGTTTTTTAAATTCTTTTCTTTTGAAGTTCTGTATGCTAATCAATGTCCTCGCCTCTGTTTTCTCTTTGTCTTCCTCTATCTCTGTCTCCTCTCCCGCCTGTCCTCCAGGGTGATCAGCAGGGCTCCAGGTCTGAAGCTGGTGTTGAGACCCTCATCACGTCCTCAAGCCCATCGGCAACATTGTTCTCATCTGCTGCGCCTTCTTCATCATTTTTGGCATCCTGGGTGTTCAGGTTAAACACCATCAAAATATGAATTCAGATGTTCTCCACCTTACACTTAGTTTTCTTTTTTTCTGTCTTTCTTTCTTTTTTTTATTAATCTCACAAGCCGTTTAACAATTTAAGAGTACTCTCTTTCAGAAACTTTAATTGGACCGACTGCAAATATAATATGACCTAACGCGCTGACCCCTGCCTCACTTAAGTTTTATGCACATAGAATCGAAGTGGGTCAAAAATATTCTTCAAGGCACAATTATTCTCCTAACTTGAATCAGAGCAAAAAAGTGAAACTAAGAAATTAAAGCTAGACACGATTAAACAGAACAAGTGAGAAAACATAAAACAAGACCGCGTTCCTGTTTGTACCCACATTGAAATCACATCCCCAATCCGCGGCTGGGAAGGTGAGACGGAGCAGACCTCAGTGGAAATGAGTCTTTGGCTCTCCCAAAGTAAAGTACACATACACATAACCAACGCAAACGCAATCCGCAACGCAAACGCAACGCAACAACAACACAACACAACCATCAAAAACATACAACATATACAAACATACACTAGTTGCAAATGAGCATGTAGGAACATATTAGAATACTAGAAGATATGCCAACATCACCCCTTTTCTACACACACACACACACCACACACCACACACACACACACACGCGGAATGATATATTATGGGCCAATTTGGAGTTTAGTATCTTGCCCTACAACAACTTCGAACATTGCACACTGGAGGGAGCCAGGAATCAAACCACCTTCCATTAGTGGACGACCCCCCCCCTTCTCAGCCACGCACGTTCTTTTACAGGCAAAAACTTACTGTTCACCGCCTCTGGAATTAGCTTTAGTTTTACGACGTGGGAACACAGACAGATGTAGTCTTAAATCCCAGAAGTTTCCATTAATATTCAAGCAACAAAGACTCAAGTATAATAAACAACAAGGTGTATATATACTATATATATATATATATATATATATATTATATAATAGTCATTTAATATCACAATTGTATCAAACAAAAAGTAAAGCAAAAAAACAGTTCCTTTAAATCCTTCATAGTTTGCTTGCACTTTATTGTCAGGAGTGCTCCAATAAAACCAAAGTACATGTCATAAAATGTGTCAGTGTTTACAATATGTGTCGATATTTTATATGTTTATCCTATTTAAGGCAAGTTCATGAGTCTTGTAAAGTTACAGCTGAGTTTGGTTTTCCCCTTTTCATTTAATTAGTGCAGCACCATATATTCTTTTGGCATCAGCTGTCAGTCCCAACCTGTTCTCCCTCGCATCACTTCACGTTATTATTCTCTTTTCTCTCTTCCGCCGTTGTGCATTGTTTTACTCACTTTGATGTGGTCAGTGTGATTTGAGAATTAAAAAGCATCTCTTCTCAGGGAGGAAACAGCAAACTGTTGTATTCAAGTGGTTTACGGAGTCCCTCACCCACAGCGCTAAGTTACAGACCGCTAATTTGAAATCACTTCAAAAAAGCCACAGGAAGTGGCTCCACGCGAGCGCTGTTGTCACGTCCTCGTCAAAAACTCATCATTGTGCGGCCTCTGCCTCTCGTTTTCCCTCCCCGTGTGTGTTTTCCCTTCTAAGCTCTTCAAAGGCAAGTTCTACTACTGTGTGGGCTTCGACGTGAAGAACATCACTAACACAATCCGACTGTCCTGGCTGCCAACTAATCGATGGATTCACCCTAAATACAACTTTGACAACCTCGGACAGGTACAGAAGAAAGAGAAAAAGAAACGTTCCTGACATCCTGTCTGGATTGGCTTTGAACGTACTAATCCTGGATGCACACACAAACAACAGTGCACATACTCAATAAACATTATAATGATGATTAGCACACTATAGGGGATATCATTTCTCCTGCTGTGCAGTGCAAGAGAAATAACTAACAGCATACTTGATGGCGGGTGGTAACTACACCTCAGCTGCTAACAAAATGTGTGAAATAATGACAAAATGTATTTTAAATGTAATTCAATATAAATACATGTATATTCTATAACTGATTCATGTCACATGACAGCAGTTTCAACATGTTTCCTGCTCTAAAGTTCAGTCGTTTGTTTGTGTGGTGTCCTCTCTCTCTCTCTCCCCTCCAGCTTCTGATGTCCTGTTTGTGCTGGCCTCCAAAGACGGATGGTCAAATATCAGTACCATGGTCTGGATGCAGTGGGAATTGACCAGCAGGTAATACCCAGACACACACTTGTAGACATTCACAACACCAAAATTGTGTATTGACACTCATACAACATTGCGGAAAAGTGTAACACTCAGTCAGTCAACATTATGTTTGCCATTTAACCTGGCGTCCAGTTTGCAGTGGCAGGAAACTGGCAGCTACGCGTCCAGTCTGCCTCTAGGGAATCCCACGTGTTCTCGGGCCATATGGGATATGAGATCCCTCCTTCTGGTCTGCCCCCAGTGTGGTCCTCCCAGTCGATGTGCCCAGAACTGCCTCACAGGAACAGGAGGCTTCCCGATCACATCACCAGATCAGCTCCGATTTCTTCTATAGAAGC